GACTAAATGGATTGTATGAAATTGCAGAGCTTCTGCATGGCAAAGGACATAGCTAGTAAGGTCAACAGAAAGCCCACAGATTGGGAGAAGATCTTCACTAGCCATGCAATGGACAAGGGTCTCATATCTAAAATACATCTGGAACTGAAAAATTTAACCCCCCCCAACAACAAATCCTTAAAGGAACAACTGCCCAATAAATAAGTGGGCTAAAGACTTAAAGAGAGGAAGTGGCACTGTGGCTCAAGCAGTAGGGCGCTTGCCTTAAGGTGAAGAGCTGAGGGAAAGTGCCAAAGCCCAGAATTCAAGGCTCATGACCAACAAAAAAAAAGAAAAAAAAGAAAAAGACTTAAAGAGAAACTTCTCTGAGGAGGAAAGAAGGATGTCCAATAGACACATGAAGAAATGTTCAACCTCCCTAGTCATAAAAGAAATGCACATCAAAACAACATTGAGATACCACCTCACCCCAGTTAGAATGGCTAGATCCAGAGCTCTAACCACAACAGATGCTGGAGGGGATGTGGACAGAAGGGAACCCTACTGCATTGTTGGTGGGAGGGTAAACTTATTCAACCAATTTGGAAAGTAGTCAAAAGACTCCACAAAAAGCTCCCTTATGACCAGCAATCCTACTTTTGGGCATTTACCCAAATGATCACAAACAAGACAATACTAAAGCTACCAGCACAACCATGTTATTGCAGCATTATTTACCATAGCTAAGGTATGGGACCAAGCCAGATGCCCCTCAGTAGATGAATGGATCAAGAAAATGTGGTATATGTACACAATGGAAATCTATGCCTCCATCAGAAAGAATGACATTGCCCCATTTGCTAGGAAATGGAAAGACTTGGAAAAAATGATATTAAGTGAAGTAAGCCAGGCCCAAAGAAACATAGGTCTCATGGTTTCCCTTATTTGCAATAACCAGTATATGTCTGGGACAAACAGAAATGATCAGATAAGTTGATGTTAGGCGAAATGAAACCCAAGATAAGGATTCAATTATTTTTTCTTTCTTGCGATTGTTTCTAACATATTTATAAGATATTTCTTTGTTGCTTTGTATGTCCTTCCAGCATAGTATAACCCCTGTTTTCACTGTATTGGTGTTGGTATAATTTGTAGAGGAGAAGGGAAAAAACAAATTGTTTAAATAGAGATACTTGTGGACCCATTGCAAGAATGAGATGTACAAGATGTTATGTTGAAAAATGAACTTTACAACTTTGGAGCATAGGTAGGAGGGTATGTGAGGATGGGGGTGGGGATGGGAAGGGGAAACAAAGGAGGAGGCAACAATGCTTGATAAGAATTTTTCTCAATACCTTGCCCATGTAATTGTAACCCTTCTGTACGGTATTTCTACAATAAAAAAATAGAAAATGAAAAGAGAGTGTTGTATGGGCAATACACATTGCTTTTGTGTTCATTTTCTTAGAAATCATACTTTTTTTTGCCTGGGGCCTTAGCAATGGATCTAAAATACAATGGCATATTGGGTAGCCAAGGCATTTCACAGTTTGCTTATGACAGTGGAGTCATTTCATCATTTCTTTTCCTTGCTTCCTCCTGGCTCAATGTGAACACAATCTTGGAATCAGTATCATATGGACACTTCTAATCCTCACTAGATATTGACTTGTGTTTTCCAAATAACATAAGATACATGTGACAATTAAGAATGTCCTGCCTCCCTCCATAGTGTGTTCTATGAATTCATAGTATGTTATGAAGAATAATTAATTAGGCCTGTTTTATATATTTTTATCAAAAGGAAGCATCTATCTGTCATAGGCAGTGAATAGAAGATGATTATGAGAATAAGTAGTGTCAAATATATTTGAATATTTTTATGAATATTAGTCACTAAATAGACAAAAAAACAAGGCCCCTGCTGTTGTAAATACTGACATATATAGCCAATATATAATATATTTTATATACATAATGTACCTACTATCAATATAATATATAATCATTAATATAAATATTAAATAAATGTTAAAATAAAATATGTATTAATATAATATATTATATACATATTATGTGATTAATATGATATATACATCTGTATGTATATATTTGAGCCACAGCTCCAGTTATTTCTTTTGGTGTTAAATTGGAGATAAGACTCTCATGGTTTTCTAGCCTAGGCTGAACTTGAACCACAATTAGCCTCCTCAGTAGCTAGGATTATAGGAGTCAGCCACTGACTCCTAACTACCATATTCTACATTTAAGTGAAAAATACTGCCTTATAACCCAATTCATGTTCCCTAGAAGGACTTTGCTCTTTGTCTTCATTTTCTGACCTCTTTCTCTGTCTCTTTTCATCTTTATCTTTCCTCTTCTCCATACCTCTTAGATAAGATTTACTACTTGATTCAGTTGTAGTTATCTGTTTCCATGTTCAAGGATCTTGTCATCTTTTTCCTATAGCCTAGACTTGTCTTTTCTTACCGGTCAACCTCTTTATCTGCTGTCAGGACCAATTTGCTTAGTTCTATGGATATTTTATTTGCTATCTATTACTTGAAAGGTTATTCTCCTTCATACCTATTACTGTTTTATTAAAACATTAATTTCATAACAAATAGATTTATATACAAAGGCTTTATATTATATTTTACCAATTGAAGCAAAAATACTCCTTAGATACTTGGGTTTTACCGCAGTATGTCAGGAAGGTTAAAGATTAGTTGTAATCAACAGGATCATGCACTGTCAAATAGTTATGAGCTGAAATGATATCTTTGCCATCACCAATATGAACTTAAGAAATTACTTAACTTTTTTTGTGTCTTGGTTTCATCTATGTAAATAATGAAAGAACACCCTCATGTTGTCTTTTGGAAAATTATATAAGATAATGTCCATAAAGCTTAGTATCTAGTATTAGGTTAATGAAAAAATATCTATCATCATTATTATAAGAGAAATAAAGTGATAATATCAGGAAAATAAATCTTCACAATATTTTACAAAATAATAATGACTGTTTTATCAAGAATTTTGCCCATACTAGCCATTCAGATACTTTCTATGATTTATTCCAGAAAGTTTATTTCCCTTTTATCCAAAATATTGTCTTGAACTTAAAGATTTATTTTGCCCAGATCAAATAGCTATATGATAGCTGAGCACTTTTGCTCACATGACAAGAATCTCATCATAGACTTGGTGCTTCATCAGATTCTCTATCATAGCTGAAAGCATTTGTTAATCAGGTCAACGCAAAATGGTGGCCATTGGGAAGCTTTGTGAATGTCAATATTCACACCAACTTGTCTTACTACAGAAACTCAAGGCCTAAAGAAACCGAGTTGTGGGCTGGGATGTAGCTCAGTGGCAAAGCGCTTGCCTAGCAAGTGCAACGTCCTGGGTTCGATCCCCAGTACCAAAAAAGAAAAAAAGACAAAAGAAACCGAGTTGTGCTGTGAGTTGGAGAGTGGGTCACAGAGTAACTGTCTTCCAGTTATTGTTCCAAGTTATTGCATTTCCTGGACAAGTTTCCTCTTCCAAGATGTGAATTGTTGCCTTATTATAATACTTCTCAGAATTTCTGGGGACAGATAATGGACAGAAATTGTTTTCTTATTATGTGGACTTCTTAGAATTGAAGAACACTTCTGCACTTTTTTAAACCACAAAATTAGCATGTCATTAAATACAATATATAAACAGGCACCAAGGAATACAAACCATCCTCTACCTAGCTTCACCTTGTTCTCCTCTTGGGAAGAAAGGTAAGAATCTCAGATATAAATTCAATACAAAACTGTCTTATTTTTTATTGCAAACTAAGTCAGGTTGTAGAAAGAAAATACTTGCTTAAAATGTAGAAATTATTTCAGAATTGTTGAAACTATTTTCAGTAGTTAGCTTATATTAAGCAGAGATTAATAATTGATTTCTTATGTAACCCTTACAATGTAAGACTTTAGTGAGAAAATCTAGGAATGCATAGAGAAGTTGGAAACAAAACCAAAACAAACCAAAGGAAACAAATAATTTGAAAGAACAGTAGTTTATAGTATATTAGTCAATAACAAAGGTCTGGCTTAAAATGAGTTTAAAAGTGAGAAGGATAAGATGCAGAAACTGCATTTGAAAGTCCTTAATAGTATTTTTTTCTTTTTTATTAACCCTGACAATAACATTATTTGGAACCTTGTGATCTTAGACAAACTGAAGTTAGTAAGTTATTATATAACAACCATCAAGGAAGTAAAAATATTTATTTTTACTAACAGTAGTTTCCTTTTTGTATTTATATAAATTATTGTAAAGATACTGTACAGAGGGGTTACAGTTACATGAGCAAGATAATGAATACATTTCTTACTGAGAATTGTTACCCCCTCTTCTGTTTTTCCCCTACCATCCCTTCCCTCCCCACCTCCCCAACTCCTCCCCCACCTCCCCAACTCCTCCCCCACCAAAGTTGTAAAGTTTGTTTTCAACATAGTGTCTTGTACATCTTATTGTTACAATGGATCAAACTGTATCCTTATTTCAGCATTTTGTTATTTTCTTTCCTCTGCCCAGATTAGAAAAATGCATAAACAAGATGCAGGACACTGGAATCAAATACAGTATAAACAGGGGTTATACCATGGGGGGAAGAACATACAAAAGAAACAAAAAATCACATAGTACATTATAAATACATTAAAAACAACAGCAAGAAAGATAAAACCTCCAACCTTTCTTTGTGTTTCTGGATCTTTATTAAGAAAATTTTGGCCTGTGGACTTTGGTCAACTTCTACTAATATATTTTTGTCTTAAATTCAGCCATCTTTATTTTATCTTTGTTCTCTATTAAAGAAAAAGTAACCTTACCTAAGAAAACATATCTGCTCCCTGACTTATGTAACTGTAACCCTTCTGTCACCTGTACAATAAAATTTAAATATAAAAAAGAAAATATATCAGCTGCACTAACCTATTCTCTTTCCTTCCTTTCCCTATTGCTAGGACTGAATAGCCATGAAGGTCTTTCTCCTCGCATGCCTTGTGGCACTTGCTCTTGCCAGAGAGGTAAGTTAAGAAAAAAATTCATACAAAAGTAAGATACAGAGGACAGTGTCTGACTACTTGTAGAGAATAACATAACTAGTATGTTTATTATTGTCCAAGTAATATGTAATTGCAGCAGGAGTTTCTTTTTGTGTTGTTATTGTTTCCTTCCTTCCTTCCTTCCTTCCTTCCTTCCTTCCTTCTTTCCTTCCTTCCTTCCTTCTTTCCTAAATTCCTACCTTCTTCCTTTTCTCTTTTTCACTTTCTTCCTCTGTTTTTCTTTCTTTTTTGTTTTTGTATTCAATGAAAATCATTCACCCGCTGTCTGAACAGTGCCTTGTAGGATGGCAAAGCTGGGACAGGTGTTATGTATATCAGTGTGCCACCAGTCATAAATGAGAACAAACAAGTCAATAAGTAACAATACAAAAGAAACAGAAAAAGAACAAATTGTCAGTTGTATAAATAGAATTCCGTGTTCATGCAACTTAAAAAAATGCATCATATTGCAGTGGAAAAACTAGATATGTCTCTTAAAACAGTGGGTAAAATGCTATTTATGACTATGCAAAGATCCAAAGGAGGTAGAAAGCAACATTTTTAATAATGAGTTGTCTATAGAAATAAAATGGCTGTTCATTTTTTTTTATTTACAGAAGGAAGAACTCGTTGTCTTCAGTGAGGTAAGGTTTGTTTGATTTGTGTGTTATGTGCATGTGTGCACATGTGTTGTGTGAAAAATTTTTCAGCCACAAAATAATAACATTATCTAATAATCAGCAAGACTTAACTGTCTTAAATTTTGTTTTACAGTCTTCAGAAAGCAATTCAAACAGCCAGGTAAGATAATACTCTGTGCGTTACATTATTTATTTATTATTATTATTATTATTTGGGTCCAGTCGTGGGGCCTGAACTCTGGGCCTGGACGCTGTCCCTCAGCTCTTCAGCTCAAGTCTAGCACTATACCACTTGAGCCACAGTGCCACTTCTGGCTTTTTTCTTTTTGCTTATGTGGTGCTGAGGAATTGAACCCAGGGCCTCAGGCATGCAAGGCAAGTACTCTACCACTGAGCCACCTTCCCAGACCCTATGCGTTACATTATGTTATAGTAGTTAGGGCTAACACAGTTAAGTTCTAGCCTTATATGTTTGGTTGTAAATTTCTTTCACATACTTTGAAAGACAAAGCATCTCTAACATTTTAGTGTTCTAGAACTTGGCAAGTTGGTTTCCTACTGGAAATGGTGTTCCTTTGCCTCACTCTCTCCTCTCTTTGACATGAAACCATATCTTTCTCTGACCTCCTTTACTTTTAACATTTACTGGATGTTTGCAGACCCAACATAGGCTAGGAGATGTGGTATAATGTCAGTGATAGAGAGCAAAGAGCTTGCACTGTAGTACTATGCTGACAGAAGATAGAATATATTTTGTCATATTGGCAAATAAGAACCAATGAAACTTAGTGTTGTACTAAATCAACTTGAGAGAGTCGTGGATATTTATCTTTGTACCATGATTCAGCAAAGGATATAACAATATACTCTCACCTCATAAAAGCTACATGATCCTTGGAGGAACTACTTATTTCTTACAGTGCACTTGAAGGCTTGTATATTAAGAAGCACACTAAAAACGATTCCTATAATGCCATTAGATCATATTTTCAGTTATTTCTCTGATAAGTTGTGAGCAGAAAAAGGAGCATGGCTATAGAGAGAAAGTAGCATCTTTCAAATGTTTTTTTTTTTTGTACTCTGTTTACTAGATTTCTTTCATGACATGACTCTGTTAATCTTTCTGCCACTCAACAGGATTAGACAAAGTAGTTAACTCTAAGTTGCAGCAACTTACCTAAGCTATCAAGTGAAGATTTTCACATTATCATTTTAAATACCTTAATTTTCTAATAATATTGAAAATTAAAACTAAATCTAATTTTTATTTTTCTCAAGGAATTTATTGGCGATATCAACAAGGTAAAACATGTTTAACTATGCATATTTTCAAACTTTTCCATGTTTGATCTTTTAATAGATGCTAACATATTTATGTATAATTTGTTTTCTTTTTGTAGAAACTTGAGAAAGTCAAGCAGGTGGAGCAACAGCAAAGAGAGGTGATTTGTTCATGATGAGTGTATTTCTAAACTTATTGTGAAGTAAAGGAGCAAATAAAAATATCTGTAAAAAATCAATCTAGAAATAGTACATAAAAAGGCATGTCTCTCAAAATCCAGTGTAATTGAACATTGGTGATACCAATATACATACATACCAATATAAATACATATATATTTTAATGTGTTCTTAAAAGCAGTGTTAATGACTAGAATGGAGTTTAAATTTCTAATGCAATTATTAATGATATACCTACTTTAAGTAAGTGAATATTAGTAAAACATTTCCACACTGAGAAATATGCTCTTTTTAATTTCAAGGTAATTTTGACATGGGAGGAGAATAAAGGCAATATGGCACATGTCCTAAATTGCTTATTTATCACATGTACAAACTTGAGTACAAGTGTCATTGTATTTCTTCACATATAAACATATTCTTAAGACTGTGTGCCATAATGTGGCTACATTGGCATTCAGAAAATATTCAATGATTTTTGTATTCATGTTTTGAAAGGTTTATATTAATATTTATTGAATATATATTCCTAAAAGTTTTACCATTTTAAAGATGAGAAAAGTGAAGTACAGAACAATGAAATATACTCTTCTATGAGAATATTTCAGTTATTACAGAACAGAAAAGTCTGTGAGATTCTGATCTCCAATAAATCACTAGAAAATTGAAAGTGGTGCTGTGGCTCAAGAGGTAGAGCGCTCATCTTGAGCTGAGGAGCACAGGGATAGCGCCCAGGCCCAGAGTTCAAGCCCCACGACCAACAACAACAAAAGTTTATTTTTTTGTCTTAGTTTGAAAAGCCAATCCTTGTTATATATAAGTACAGCTCAGGTGAAAACATTCTAAAACTTTCCTGAACATTAATTTCAGTTTGAACTGTGGATTCACCTGTGAAGTAAGTTAAAGTATAATTAGTAAACAAATATTTTATTCATTGTTCTTTACATAACCTGTCATACTCTTTGTTTTTCTTGGTTCTATCATTTTACTTGGGTACTTCTATGAAACCATTGTATCTTGGTGTAATAATTTCCTCAGCAAGCTGGAAATAATTTTTCACTCAACTGGAATTATCCAGGACTGATTGATTATATTATGAATGTCAATTATAGCTGAATCATGGACTGAAACATTCTTTTTCTTTTTTCAGGCTGAACTCCAGGATAAAATCCACTCTATTGTCCAGTCACAATTTCCAGCCTATCCCTTTACCAATCCCATCCCTTACACTGAACCACAAAACATTCTGCCTGTTGCTCAGCCTGCTATGGTGCCTCTTCCCCTGCCTGTCTCTGTCCATAAACTCATGGAAATCCTCAAAGCTAAGGCCACCGCTAACCCTCTTAAGAGCAAACAGATGTTTCCCTCTAAATCTCATACCATTAGCCCCAGTCTGACTGATCTCAGAACTCAGCATCTTTCTCAGCTTCAGCTGCAGTCCCTGTTGCAACAGGAACCCCAATCTCTCCTCCAACTCCAGTCCCTGATGCAACAGGAACCCCTCTCTCTCCTCCAACTCCAGTCTCTGTTGCAACAGGAACCCCAATCTCTCCTCCAACTCCAGTCCCTGATGCAACAGGAATCCCAATCTCTCCTCCAACTCCAGTCCCTGATGCAACAGGACCCCCAATCTTTTGTTCAGACCCACGTGCCTCCTCTTCAGCTCCAAGAGCAACCTTTTCAGCCTGAAGTTCTCTCTCTTCTCCAGCAAGTGGCTACCTTGCCCCAGACAGATATGCCTGCCCTAGATGAACTGGTAAACCAATATATTCTCTTTGTGCTCGCCCACCAGTTCCCTGGAACTCAATTACCGGATTCACGTCAAAACCGAGTTATTGTAAGTCCAAATTTCCTTTCTTTACAGTTTCACTCATGAGCTGCGTATAAGGGGAGATAAGTAGGAGTTCTAAAATGTAAGAATAAAGTCATCATTCAGATCAGTGAGACTCAACATTAGACACACAATGACAACGCTGGGAGATCTTTCTCTTCAATTTCTGTGCCAAGGCCACAGAGATTTTGATGGAATTTTTCAGATTGTCTAAAGACAAGAAACAGTATATTTTTTATATTTAAGTATTTTTTTATTGTGAAAATACCGTACAGAGGGGCTACATTTACATGAGCAAGATAATGAGTACATTTCTTATCAAGCATTGTTGCCTCCTCCTTTGTTTCCCCTTACCATTCCTTTCCCATTTCCCCCCACCCACGCTCCCTCCACCACTGTCAAACTTGTAAAGTTCGTTTTTCGACATAGCCTAGTCTTGTGCATCTCATTGTTGCAATGTGTCCACCTGTATCCCTTTTTAAATAATTTGTCTTTTCCCTTCCCTTCCACAAATTATACCAACATCAAATATAGTGAAAACAGGGGTTATGCCGTGGGGGAGGGACATACAAAGCAACAAGGAAATCCTCTCATAAATATGTTAGAAACAATCACAATAAAGAAAAAATACATTTGAATCCTTATCTTGGGGTTTATTTTCCCTAACATCAACTTATCTGACCTTTTCTGCTTGTCTGAGACATATACTAGTTATTGCAAATAAGGGAAACCATGGGACTTGTTTTTCTTTGGATCTGGTTTACTTCACTTAATATAATTTTTTCCAAGTCTTTCCATTTCCTAACAAATGGGGCAATGCCATTCTTTCTGATGGAGGCATAGAATTCCATTGTGTATATATACCACATTTTCTTGATCCATTCATCTACTGAGGGGCATCTGGGGTTAATTCCATATCTGAGCTATGGTAAATAATAGTTGTGCTGGTAGCTTTAGTATTCTTGTTTGTGATCATTTGGGTAAATGCCCAAAAGTGGGACTGCTGGGTCATAAGGGAGCTTTATGTGGAGTCTTTTAAGGAACCTCCATACTGCTTTCCATAGTGGTTGAACAAGTTTATACTCCCACCAACAATGCAGTAAGGTTCCCTTCTGTCCACATCCTCTCCAGCATCTGTTGTTTAATTAGAGTTCTTGATTCTAGCCATTCTAACTGAGGTGAGGTGGTATCTCAATGTTGTTTTGATTTGCATTTCTTTTATGGCTAGGGAGGTTGAGCATTTCTTCATGTGTCTATTGGCCATCCTTCTTTCCTCTTCAGAGAAGTTTCTCTTTATGTCTTTAGCCCACTTATTTATTGGACAGTTGCCAGAAACAGTATTGAAATGATTAAAAGGAGATTTTCTTAATTGGTCTCTAAGAATACTGATTTGCAGAGGATTAAGGCTTACTAATACCAAAATTAAAGCTGACAATTGTATTAGGTTTGGCATGAAGAAGACTTGCTATTTTCTGGAAGTATAAAGTTTTCTTTGTTCACATATATTCTTCACAGACCATAGTTCATATTTAGATTTTTAAATGTACATGGAAACAAAGCCTTGAGACGACTTTCATTATTTACAACAGTTTTAAGGCAATTATTCTTTCCAAGATGTGAATTATGTATTTTTATTTATTTTGTATCTGTTTACTTTTCAGGTCTAAGAGGATTTCAAAATTAATGTTCTCTCCTCATTTTTGGTAAGATTTTTGGCATTAAGAGAATAAGTTGACTATTTATATAATTGATATATTTTTATATTTTATTCTCCTATACAGACCCTTGGTAATCACTTATGAAGTAAAAAGTAACTAACTTATTAATTATCAGTTTTCCTCAAAGGTTGACTATTAATTATCAACCTGAAATTAGATATAATTTATATTCCAAAGAAATTTTAATTTACTTTATGTACAATTGGTATATTTAACTGGTTTAATTTCAAATGCTTAAATTCCTACATATAATTATCATTATTTTTAGGAAAAAATAGAAAACTGTTTTCATTTACTTTTAGGTAAATATGTTTGAATTTTTGTTTCCGATCAAAGTATATGATGATTTCTAGTTTAGATTTTATAAGTGACCTAGTTATTTCAATTACAACTGTATTGTCATTTATGAGTCAATATTAATTACTTAGTCTAGGTATGAGGAGAGAAGATGGCTTTGAGATACAAAACTCAAAACCTTTCATAATCATAATAGAGTAGACATTTTACTACAACAATCTCAAGTAACCTCATGTTGGAACCGATATGAACTTTCCATGAAAAGCACAATAGAATGCATTTATAGCACAATTTATTTTTTTTAATAATCACACATGAATTACAAATGGGGGGATCAGAACAGTTGTATCATAAACTGTCACTTACTCTTTGCTTACTTTCTGTTCCACAGAATTGACTGAGACTGGAAATGTGACATCTTTTCACCTTTGCATCATGTTGCCAAAATTTATATATTTCTGATTGAGTCTTCATGGAAAATGATTCTTTTATTTATTTTATGTGTCACATGACACTCATTTAATTTGAATTTAATGCACAAATTCTAATTCAACTAACTTTATAGAATTTCAATATTGAGTTGGAAATATGTATCAAAATTGTGTAAAATAGTTTCTGAAATTAGGTTTAATGCTATTTCTTTGAGAATCTATTTTCTTTCCAGTCATTTCAATAAATTAATCCTTTAGGCATATTTAAGCTTTCTTGTCTTTATTGTCATTTTGCAAACACTATTAGCTTCTAAAATGTTCATTTTAAATTATTATTGATGTTAAAAACAATTATGGAATAAATTCGGTGTGGTGAAACACATTTATAATTCCAAGTTGAGGCAAGAAGATCACAAGCTGAAATATTGGGGTATGTAGTGAGACTGTCTCCAAACACAACAGAACAAAACAAAAAACAAAGCATGAAAGAATATTTTGAAATTAAATAGAATGGTTTGAACTGATAATCAAGTCAAAAAGTAGAGGAAAAGATAGCATGATACATATCTCATTTGTCCTATAAAATCTTGATTTCCCTGTGTGATTATTACACCTGTGCCTTTCACTCTCAAAAGGATTCCAGCATTCAGTGATAAATTTTGTGTTTATCCTACAAAGATTTTCAAATATTAAATCTGTTTCTCAATTCACATGGCAGCTCAGATGTGGATGGGACTCAATCTTTCATAGCTTAAACTTCTATATTTCTACATATGAATTATAGACCAGTTGAGTACCCAACACCATCAGCATGAACTGGGTCACATGATCCTAAGTTTCTCTCTTAAATCATTAGGAGCTTAGCAGTTTTACCTTTATCATCTTCAAAGTTTCAAATATCCTGGCTGATTTTTTTTCAGTTCTCTGGCTTTATGTAAATGCATAAGCTGAGGACTTTCAAATGTACCTTCAATCTTATTTATTTTGTGAACTCCAAATTCATGTATTCACCTGCTTTTTGACCTATACCTATGTCTAATTAATTATATCACAGTTAGCCAGGTCAAGACCAACCACTGCTCTGCCTCCTAATCCAGCTCCCAACTTGAATCTTTCTCGATGTTCTCCTTTTCAAACACACAGCCAGAAATCTACTCTCTGTAAACCGACACTTAAGAAATATTGTTGATTCCTCTCTTGATGCTGAACTGGACAGTTTGTTCCATATTTATACCCTTCTAGAATGTACTTCTACTTGGAATTAGAATCGTTGTAAACATAAATTAAGACAAAGTCACAGTGAAGACTGGATTCAATAAAACTGCTACCTTTATAAGAAAAAAAAGAAGAGACAAAGATAAACAACAGGGGAGATCTAGGATTAATTGAAACATAAATTAGAGCCATGCAGCCACAAGCGAAGAAATGGCCAATGTTGGGAACACCAGAAGTCCTAAGACATGTATTTCCCTAGAGAGAACATGATTTTACCAATCTTTTGATTTGGGCTTTTGGCATCCAGAAATTTGAAATAATTTCTCTTTGCTAAGTCTAGCAATAAATTTCAATCTAGGAGGTAAAAGTGCTCCTTTCCTCTATCATTAATTTAATTTGAACTATCTCATTATGATCACCTCTTTCTAAACTATTACACAGCCTTTATTGCCCCTTCTGTCAGTCTGTCTTACAAAACAGATAACCTTTTATATAAGTATAGGCTCCTTCCAATCTGTGACCTACAAGATCTTATAATGTCCAACACTAGTCTGTATCATTAGCCTTTTCTGATACTCAGCACATTTCCAAAGTTCCAGCCCATTACTTAACCCCGAACCTTCTTTTCTTAGATGATACGCCTCAAGAGTAGTAGGGAGAAGAGCCCGGGCAGGAGCTCCAACATTTTCTTAAACATACTGTCTTGTCTAAATTACTTAAATCACTTCATCTTTTAATACCTCATTTTCTTTATCTTTAAAATGAAACTAGTAATGTTTGTCTTTAAAGATGATGGTACTAGTTAAGCTTTGGTGGCTTATGCCCGTGATCCTAGTTATTCAGGGGGCTGAGATCTGAGGATGATGATTTAAAGCCAGCCCAGGCAGGGAAGTCTGTGAGGCTCTCATCTGCACTAAACTGGCAAAAAAGCAAAAATGGTGAGACAATGGACAAAGCGCAAACCAGTTCAACAGTGATACTCATAAGACACTATGTTGGAAATGAACTGTACAATTTTGGGAGAAGTGTTGGGAGGAGGGAAAGTGGGAGAAAAATGAGGGAGGAGTAACAAGTTCAACAAGAAATATACTCACTACCTTCCATATGTAAACTGTAACCCCTCCGTACATCCCTTAACAATAAAATTAAACTTTAAAAAAGCCAGAAGGGGAGCTATGGTTCAAGTGGTAGAGCTCTAATCTTGAGCAATAAAAGCTCAGGGACAGTGCCCATGCCCTGGGTTCAAGCCTTAGAACTACCCTTGTCCTCACCTACACACACACACACACACACACACACACACACACACACACACACACACACATACACACACAATGATGTTACTGATTTATTTTAAGTCTTTGTGTATAAAACAAATACAATACTACATGAGAAGTAAGTGCTATTAACATTACTATTAGTTATAAACTACCAAAACATAGAAAAGAAGACATAGATATAACCATTAAAAAGAAACTGACTTTATAAAACAGCTCCCCCCAAACTTTTCAAGATTCAGGTAACTTCTCTGGGGAGTTTTAGCTAAATATGCAAGTAAGAATTCAAGTCTAGAAGCCAGACATGGAAGCATCTGTATATGACCACAACACGAAGAAAATGGATTCAGGAAGAATATGAATTTAAGTCTGGATTATGAAGTCTGGGCTGCATAGTAAGTTTCAGATTAACTGGAGCTATTTAGTATACCATATCTAAAAATAGAAGCACACATGTGAATATAATTCATGTCAAAATAAAAATGAACAAACATTTTCCACAATATTTCATGAGATTATTACTATCCTGATGTCAAAGTCAGAAAAAAAACATTGAGCCATGCGCCTGTGGCTCACGCCTGTAATCCTAGCTACTCAGAAGGCTGAGGTCTGAGACTTGAGGTTCAAAGCCAGTCAGGGCAGTAAAGTCCATGACATTTATCTCCAATAAACTACTAAAAAACCAGAAGTGGTGTTGTGGCTCAAGCAGTAGAGCGTTTGCCTTAAGGGAGCTGAGGGACAGTGCCCAAGCCCAGAGTTCAAGCCCCACTACCAATCAAAAAAAAAAAAAAAAAGAAAAAAGAAAAGAAAAAGAAAAAACATTGAATACATATACATAGAACAAAAAGAAAACTAGATTCCAACATTTCTTATTAATTTTATACAAAATTTCTCAAAACATGAGTGATTCAAATTTGAAAATATGTATGTTCAAATATACCCCAAAGGGGTTATTTTGAGTGTGTAGCCTATATAATTTAAAAAAAAAAAAACAATTAATGTAGACTATTAGCCTTATGCTAAACAAAGTATCCGATAGTCATACTTGTTCAGAAGAAAAGGATTTGACAAAATTTGTCATAGGTACATCACAGAAACTATGGAACTAGGAATGGGAAGTATTTCCTCTGCCTCATATGAAGCGTCTATATTAAAACATATATTTGCTTATGCCCGTAATCCTAGCTACTCAGGAGGCTACATTCTGAGGATTGCCCTTTACAGCCAGCCTGGGCAGAAAAATCCATGAGACTGTTATTTCCAATTATCCACCAAAAAGCCAGAAATGGAGATGTGGCTCATGTGGTATAGTCTAACCTTGAGCAATAAAGCTCAAAGACAGAGCTCAGGCCCTGAGTTCATGCTCTAGGACTAGGGCACGCTCACATGTGTACATGAACACACACACACACACACACACACACGTATAAATTAATCTTATATTTAATGGTGAAGTGGTGACAACTTTTCCTCTATGATCAGGAATAAGACAGTTGTGTTAATTCTCATCACTCTTTCAGTATAAGAACAGCAAAAGTTCAAGCCATCTCACATAAATCCCAAGAAACTGAAATGAAAAAATAGAAAGTCTCAATTTATAGACAATATGAGTATCAAGAAATCTCATGGAAATATCATTAAATTAATATATGAATTCAGTAAGTTGGTAAGATAAATATCAATAACAAAAACAATGCCATTTATAACTATGCTAAAGAACACAAACCACTTAAATACAAATCACATAAGACAAGTGTAGAATCACTAGGTGAAGTTATAAAAATGCTAATAGATGAAATAAAAAATATTTAAATATTTAGATATGCTATAGTCATGAGTTGAGAGTCCACATTAAATGAAATCCAGGTCTGAAATATGTCAAACTTTGAGAGGTTAACTTGAGTAGATCTAGGTGTCAATAGGTTATATTCAGTAGTTTAACCATACAGAGTCTTTCTCAGTGTACACAAAGAAATCAATGTATGGCAAGCAAAAGGTTTAAATATGAATGACAAAATAATAAAATGTCTAAAGTCTGCATCAGAAAATATCTTATTTTAGCTTAACGTATCCATTGTTAGTAGTTTGCAATGAAATTATTAAAATAATATGATACATATATTATTGATGATTTGTCTTCATTAAAGGACTTGTGTTTATCACAAAAAAACATCAAGGAGGCTGAAAAGGCAGTGGGGGAGACATTTGCAATACATATAACTCCATATATAAAAATATATAAGAAGAACCATTATATTACTGTGTAGGCTTATACACTACTATGAGCTAGCTGTGTAGGTATAGACTAGTTATGTGGCCAGATTTACATTCTGTTGGAATAAGTTAGGCTGTTTAAACCTCATGCACTTGAATAGACCACACACACACACACACACACACACACACACACACAAATAAACATATATCATGATGTCAGTAAAAACATGGAAGATGGGTAATATTTTTGAAGATCAGAAAAATGTAAATTAAAGTCGCTTTAAAATAACAGGACACAACCACCAGGGGGCCTCAGATACCAAGAGTTAAGATACCAAGAAAACAAAAGCATTGCCCTCCCATACCAACCCACAAAAGAATGATTAGCAACTGATTATTTTAAAATGTAAAGTGGCACAAGAACTCTCTATTCTTTATCTTGTGAATAACGGTTCTATTTTAGATGTACAATGCTGAAAAATATGTTCAGTAGTATTTAAAGCACAGTAACCATGTTTGTTCAGTTACCAAGATAGACACTGATGTGAGAGGATAGAGATTTGGTTCCAAATCAACTCCAGGACTGCCAACTGAAATAGAGTAGTGTGTGGTGAGTGGATGGAAACTTTCTAAATAAAGTACCAGGTGTCAGAAGGATTCTGGTCAAACCAAGCTAACAGTATTTCAACTAAACACAGGCCACATGATTAGCTATCATGGGGAAGTTGTTGGGAGGAAAAATTTGGTAAGATATTGAGGATGATTAAATAAAAAGGCTCTGTTTTAAAACTATTTAAAGGCTCTGTAGGGTTCTGTTTTAAACGTGTATTTCACAAGAAAGTACAGAGATGTAAATAGAAGGTTCAGAAACCTGACTAAAATTTTGTTAAGCAAAAATATTTGTCTGGAGCTTTGTTGGGATAAGTGCATATATATATATATGTATATATATATGTGTGTTCAACTTAAAATATTTCTCAATGTTCTCGAGTACTATTATTCATTTTAAGAAAAAATCAAAGGGGTATTAATAGTTTAGGAGCTGAATTATTAATAGTAACCAGTAATTTTGAATAAACAAATTATAGTATACAATACAATGGAATATTACAGCACACACAGACACACACAGAGACATGACACACACACACACACACACACACACACATATTCACATACACAAATGAATGAGCACTTACAGTTTCCAACATCCAGAATTCACTTCATTCAAGACACAAACCATGAATCTATTTATGAATACTGAATAGCAGAGCCAAGATGCTATATAATGTCCAAAACAACCTACATACATATAGATTATTATTATTATTGTTGTTGTTGTTATATTGCTGGTATTAGAGCTTACACTCTAAGCTCTGGTATTAAAGCTGAGGTGGTCTCCCTTAGTTCTTAGCTAAGGTGCTCTACTACATCAACCATACCTCTACTTTTGGCTTTTTCTGTTTAATTGGAAAAAAAGAGTCCCACAGAATTTTCTGTCTCAGCTAGCTTCAAACCCAATCTCCAAGACTTTGAGGAAAACAACTTGAAAAGCAACTTGTATATTCAACAAGATAATGAAGCTTTATAAATAAATAAGTCTAGAGGGTAAATTGTATCACTACAAAAGAGATAGTCAAGACTTAATCTGATCTTAATTAGAATAATGTATTTGTAGATGTATTCAAGTAGGGATGAAGCTATGGTGGATCAGAGTGGGCCACAAATCCACTGATTGCTGTCTTTCTAAGAAAGATATTCCACAACTGACATTTGGTAGACACACACACACACACACACCATATATATACATATATATATATATGTATATATATATATATATATGTATATATATTTCAAGATTAAGATTTTCAATATTATTTTAATTCTTATCATTTAATTTTAAATAATTGAAAGCTGTATCTCAGCTCCCTGAATAGTGTGGATTATAGGTCTGAATCACAGATGCCTGGTTCTCCAGGAAACATGAATAAAGTAAAATGAGAACTATTTTTAAAAATGTAGATTCGCAAATATATCCGAGATCAGTAAATATATTTCTGGGTTCCACTAGAGTGGATGATTCGCTCCTCTTGGAATGAACAGAACGTCCTGATGACTTCTTGTTTGTGATGGGATTTCTTTTGAGTTAAATTAATCTAACTGGTTCATGGAAAGTTCCCAGCCTCAAGGAAATAATTGGAACCTTGAAACTGACCTGTCCTCATACTGTCCCTCCAATGTGTGGACTAAGGCAATGGAAATCATTATCATGTCCCCTATAGTGAAAACATACCGCATCCCCAGGGAAATTTCATAGATGTTAAAGAATAACATACATGTTATTTTATTTCTGGTTTTGGAGGATATGAAAGGATTATTACAGAGTTGGGAAGGTGGCTCAGTGGTAGAGTGCTTGTTTCACATGCATAAGGCCTTGGGTTCAATTCCTCAGCACCACATAAACAGAAAAAACTGGAAGCAGTGCTGTAGCTTAAGTAGTAGAGCACTAGCCTTGAGCTGAAGAGCTAAGGGACAGCACCCGGGCCCAGAGTTCAAGCCCCATGACCAGAATAAAAAGAAAGGATTATTACAAATTTAAATGAGGTGACACAGTCATAACTTAAGTATAGCAATTTTCAGGTCAATTCTTGGCATTACCTTTTCAATGAACCAAGCAAGTATATTTCTGTTTTCAGATTTTAAAAGTAACTGGAAAAAAGTAGTAACAGAATAATTTTTTTCTCATGAGGAGAAGCTTCTTCTTCATGGGGCTACACTACAATTAAATTTTTGGGAATGTGATAGTTTCATCATCCTATGGTTAATCATGCCTTTATTAAATTGATTACCTTATTATTCTAGAAATCATGAAACAAGATCTACAAACTATCTTGGAAGCTTGGAGAATCTATATGCTATCAGAAACAGAGAGGGTTATTCTATGAAGATTCTGACCTGCCTGTTCTATTAATTTCCTGAAAGCTTAGTATTCTGAGTAACTTGAAAAGCCTTATCTACATTGAAAAAAGTTATTTCTCCTTACAATTCATAACACTAATATAAAGGAATATATCCAGTGTTAAATTGCTTCCTTTTGATTTTTAAAGTAAAAGATATATGTTTAGGTTTATACATTCATGCATTTATATGTATATATTATAATTGGGTTGATGAACACATAATGACTCTTTTGACATATAATACAAGAGGCTTCGTCATTGAACAATATGATCTGGTAGATTTTTTCTTTTTGCTTATGTGGTGCTGAGGAATTGAACCCAGGGTCTCATGAATGCAAAGGCAAGCACTGTACCACTGAGCCACCTTCCCAGCCCCATGATTTTTTTTTGGGGGGGGGGCTGGTCATGAGGCCTGAACTCTGGGCCTGAGCACTGTCCCTCAGCTCAAGGCTAGCGCTCTACCACTTGAGCCACAGCACCATTTCCAGCTTTTTTATTTTTGCTTATGTGTGCTGAGGAATTGAACCCAGGGCCTCAGGCATGCAAGGCAAGTGCTCTACCACTGAGCTACTTTCCCAGCCCTGATCTGGTAGATTTAATGGCTCACTAATGGATCATGAGTGGTTGATTAATGTAGGGTAGGAGTAGAGAAAGGCACATGTTACTGGAAACTTTGAAGATACCAGAAAACCTATTTTGAAGAAATAGCTCTTGGTTGGGCTCACGAAAACACTGGACAACATACTGTATTTGGTTGCTGTGGGTGTCAAGGTTGACCTCTAATCTATCTTGCTATAAACTGAGCTATGATCAAGTAGATTCGACTCACACAGATTCAGATGACATCAGTAAATTGTATAACCATGCAAATTTCTGCTGTGCCTATAACAATCACATTGCTATTTCTTTCTGCATCTATAAATATGTTCATATAGGAAATATTCTATAAACAGCTGATTTTAAAGATCTTAGATCAAGCTTATAAATGCCTTATGTGGTCTGCCATCATCAGCCAGAAGACAACATTAAAATAGAATCTTCAAAAGTGTCACAAAAATTAGCTAGAAGGTCTCTCTCTCTCTCTCTCTCACACACACACACACACACACACAAACACACACACACACATACAAATACACACACACCACACACACACCACACACCCCAAACAAGATTATGTGAATACTGATGACTGGAATAATAATAGAAAAACATAGATTGTGCCTCAAAATGTAGTTTATTGAAAAGAAAGAAAAATCTCAGTCACTGCACACATCACCTGAAATGACAACACTAACAGAAGGAGAAATTTGGACTTTAAACAAAATTTCTATCATAGAGAATTATTAGTAAAGACTTTAATCCCCTCTGACCAGGTGATCTTTCATACTGGCATGATGCAATTCTAAGTTGACAATAAATTGTCTAGGAAAAGTTAGCTGAAGGAATGGATGATATGCTATCCAAAATAGTGACTAAGTCAAGAAAATAATTTCTTGCAACACGGTGTTTTCCTACTCTGAAGTTGCAGTCAAAACCTTTGAGTAGGATGGCTTCACATGACAAATAGACAAGAGACATTCAGAGAGAAATTTCAGTCACATCTGTAAAGAGAAATAGAAATATTTGGTTAGTTACATTAAATATTTTAATGGAAAGAGAAATTCTTGTTTTATGCTATGACATGGCAAAGCAATGAGAAGAAAAGGCTTCCTGTATGTCAGAATCTTTTCGTTTTTCTTAATCTGAATTATTTAAAGCTTTCACCAATAAAAAGGGAAACCACAGAATGATGCTTTTAAAAATGAACTCCAAGAAATGGAGGCATGAGGTTTCTACAATTGTACTATTTACGATTATTTTTTCTTTTTTTCCTTTTTTGTTTTATTCACTTCTGTTGCTGTTTTATTTATTTATTTATTTTTTACTTTTTATACCATCCCTGCCCTCCCATCCCCTGCCACCCCCCTCCCCCGCCAACGTTGTAAAATTCGTTTTTCGACATAACAGCTTGTACATCTCATTGTTGCAATGGGCCCACCTGTATCCCTATTTAAACAATCTGTTTTTCCCCTTCCCTTCCACAAATTATACCAACATCAAATACAGTGAAAACAGGGGTTATACAGTGGGGGAGGGACATACAAAGCAACAAAGAAATATCTTATAAATATGTTAGAAGCAATAGCAAGAAAGAAAAACCATTCAAGTCCTTATCTTGGGGTTCATTTCACCTAACATCAAATTATCTGATCTTTTCTGCTTGTCTCAGACATATATTGCAAATAAGGGAAACCATGGGACCTATGTTTCTTTGGGCCTGGCTTACTTCACTTAATATAAGTTTTTCCAAGTCTTTCCATTTCCTAACAAATGGGGCAATGTCATTCTTTCTGATGGAGACATAGAATTCCATTGTGTATATATACCACATTTTCTTGATCCATTCATCTACTGAGGGGTACCTGGGTTGGTCCCATATCTTAGCTATGGTAAATAATGCTGCAATAAACATAGTTGTGCTGTCACTGTTTTTTTTAATATAATTTTGTCCTGTATATACGTTTCTCTGATTTGAGAAAGGGAATGGGAAGCCCAGAAATGGTGGGACAAGGGTAAAGCAATTCACCAGTAAAACCCACTAGACACTATGTTGGAAATGAACTATACTTGGGGTTGGAAGGGAAGTCAGGAGGGGAAAATTGGGAGAGAATGAGGGAGGGGATGAGACTGTTCAAAAGGAAATGTACTCTATTAACTGACTTATGTAGCGGTTACTCTCTCTATATCAACTTTACAATAAAATTTTAAAAATCACAAAAAGGGAAAGCACACACATAAGCACCCAGACATCACCTGTGCATATATACACAGAAATAGTTAGAAGCCATAATATAGTTGATGAAGTTAAGTAAAACAAATATTAGACCCTTTCAACAGACAGTTTCACTATGTGCCTGGCTAGAGCTTTCGGCAGCCATGATCCTATGGAACAGGATCACACAATTGGGTTTACAAATCACAAAGGTATATCTTTAGGAACAATTAACAACTTCCTCACAAATCTGTACAGCCTAATCCTGCACTATAAATTATATTAGCTAAAATTAGATGAATTTGAAGGTTAGCACTTAAATATATTATGACTTTGAAAAAGTCAAAGAGAGAGGGAATTCATGAAATTAATGAATTAATTAAATGTGCAATTTCTAAACTTACCAGGTGCAATAATTGTGGCATTCCTGAGAACAGTTTCAATTGTTCTAAAAAAATTGATAAAATCATATGATGAATGTAATTGGCAAAACAATCACTAAATCAAGCAAACATGAGTGCTACATATTCGGTCTATATGTCTAGTGAAAACTATTAAATTTGATCACCTTTAAAATATAATCATATGATTTCAGTTAGGAAAACATATCAAGACTTTAATTTAGGTCCTAGAGGTTTCCAAATCTTTGTTCTGTTACTTATGCTGTATTTTTATATTTACCATATGTATGACTAGAAAAAAAAAACACTTAAAACTCAGTAAAATTAAAACGAAGAAATAATAAGTTACATGTTAGGACATTCCTTGTTTTCCTTTGGAGATCAACCTCATTGTAATGAATTTCAGTTCTAGCACATACAACACTGTTTCTCTGTTATTGAAAAAGAAATATAACCCCCAAGACTGGAAAGTATTGTTCATTTTCTACTCTAGAAAATTCTAGTACTAGGCCATAGGCATTAATTCACCATGTTTAATCAAAATCTTATTTTTTTTAATATGTTCTCTGGGCTATTTTACCTTCTTTGGTAGAATACCAAAATTCAGGAATTTGAATAAACTTACCACCACTGTGGTATGACAAATTTCTCAACGTTCTTAGGGGTAGTGGGCTTAAAGATGTCTACGATGGCTTGGACAGGAGCATCCTGCATGACTTGTGGAATGTAGAACCAAGGATTAAAGGGATAAGCAAAAGCCTGGGGGTACTGTAGGGAAGAGAAGAGAGCGAAGATAAAACACAGCAGTGTATCAGCAACTGCCATTTCAAATCTATGAAAAAAATGCATCGTCTCACTTCTTTAATGTCATTAGTCAATACTGAACTTTAAGAACCTGCACTATTTACACAGATCTGATGATCACAGCTGAGAAGAAAGCAGTCCTATGAGACTTGTTATTATTTAATTCATAATTCATGGATATTTTGGACGAGAAAGAATATGTCCTTGTGGACACTGAGGTCAAAATATTCCAAGAACACTCAAGATGAATGAAATGAAATGACTTTGAGGAATGTCAGAACTAGAAGAAAATTAAGTTTCCAATTATTAGCCTACTGTCTTTCCAAAAGCTAGATTTGGGGGGGTCAAAAGTTACTTTCTTTACTGAAATTTCAGAATGGATACTTCTGTTTATCTATTTTTAATACATTTAGATGGGAGAAATATTTGGTGGAATTGGGCTATAAAAACTGATGCAGCTTTTGTTCTGACAATATAAAGATTAAAGAGAAGCTATTTGGACCTTCCTATTTCCATATTAGAGTTTGTAAATCAAGTACATTCAACATTATAATATCAACTCACCTGAAGATAGAATGGGACCTGTTCATTAACAGATAGAAAATGTTTTATTATTTATATACAATTGAACACCATAACATAAACTATTGTTATCAAAAACTCTTTTAAAAAAAAAAAACTTAAAGGGTCACTCTTTTTTAAAAGAATTGCATAAAAATGAAACTAGTTTACTCTGCAATACAAGTGGATAATTGACTTTGTTTTTTTGCCAATGAGAAATTAAAAATTCCATATAGAATTATGATTAAAATATGATATCCACTGACAAACCATTATTACAAGATTAATTAATAACACAATGTTTTGATCTTGGAAAATAATTTCACCACTTGTTTATTCATCTCTTGTTTTAAATAATATGTAATTTATATAAAACATAGAAATTGAACCATATATGGCCCCCAAACCATGAAAATTCATACCAAGCTACAAACTTTAAAACTACACACATTGAGATATGGAAGTTTGAGGGTAGATATGAAATTGTAAAGTCTTTTAGTATTCCCAGAAGTGAGTAATCAAAGGTCAAAGAGGATACAAAACGTGTTCATAGTTATCTGATAGAGGTATCAGGCTCTGGATTGAAAATCCAAATTGTTTCCACTACACATTACCAAAATAAAAAATCGATTTTGGGCAGCAAGAATGTCATGTTACAATTTTTCTGATTTAAAAGTTTGGGCTAAAGCTATCTTCACTCAGAAATGGCTAATGACTTTCCTTCCGTGTCTGCGTGACAACATGGCTCTCATCTTCCACAATGTTAGAAGTAGCACTGGAGAGGCCAGTAAGACATAACTTGAACAGCACTCATGAATGAGGCAATTAGTAGTAAATTAGTTTCTTCAAAACAAAACCTGAGTGCTTATAGAAAGTGTGATTCTATTTGGGGAAGTACTAAATCACACATACACACAGACACACACACAAGCACACACACGTTCTCATACACATCGATTTACCTGATGCATCACTTTCATAGGCTGTCTCTGGAAAGAAGAAAAAGAGAATCATTATTTTACTTCTTGAGACCAGATAAAAATTTAAAGTCACAAGAAATAACAAAATTGTAAACACTTATTAGAGTTTCAGGAACAGACCCATTTTTTTCCAGTTGTTTTTGTTTTGTTTTGTTGCTTCTTTTCTAGACACATGAAGTCATTATCAGACTCTGGTGAGTTCTGAATAAGGGCTCAGTGATAGGTATGGAATGGGCCTCCCTATTTATCTGAACTGCTGTGGCAATCCAGGCCTCCTAGCTACTGGTTATTAGCTTGAAAATGAAATCAGAAGCTGTGGAAGTCATGGTACGTGAGGCGTCTGTACTGTATTACTGACAAATGTACTTCATAGAGAAAACAAAGGATCTAAGGTTTTGATAGAGACAGATTCTCCAGATGATTTCTCCATATGCCCCGCCGAAACAATTAAACTGATTTTAGGATTAGTAAAGATAAACTCCTCTTAAGAACCCAAAATTTGCAGATATTATAAAATTAAAGAATATGTCTAAAATTAATGTAACCATGGGGATTATCACTTCATTGCTTGGCTTCTAAGAGGCGATTCCATTTCAAAGAGTAGCGAAAAACAGTTCTTGTCTTTCGAATTAATTACTATAATTTTTTAGAGATAGGGCGTGAGAAAAACTCCTCGGGAAGAAAATACATATTCAAAACTGGGAAAATATGTACAGCAAATAAATTTAAACTTCATGATATATTTTTATTTCATAAGATATATGACAAAATATTACCATTTGCATTTGGTTGTGCTGATTCATTCTGCGAATTTGCTCCTGAATAAAAGAAAATACATTTTGAATATTTAAGCATCTATTAACATACATTTATTTACTAATTCATCATGATAATATAGTCACCCAAGGAATTTAGGATAAATTTTATTCTATGCTAGGATTATTGAAAAATATGAGAACACTTTTCTAACACTATTATTTGTTTTGTTGTTGTTGGTCATGGTGCCTGAACTCTGTGCTTGGATGTTGTCCCTCAGCTCTTCAGCTCAAGACTAGTGCTCTACCACTTGAGCTACAGTGCCACTCTTGACTTTTTCAGCTTATGTGGTGCTAAGGAATTGAACCCAGAGCCTCATGCATGTGAGGCAAGCACTCTACCACAGAGCCACCTTCCCAGCCCCTCATTAGTAAATTTTAAATAAAGCATTACTATCCTTGGATGAGAGCTCTGCATTTAAAAACCATGCATTATAAAAATATAACAAGTTAAAGAAATATTAAAATATCTTAGATTAAATAAATAAATTTACCTGGGCAAGAAGAGATTGCTAAAGAAAGAAAAAAATGTTTCTTTTAGTGTGTTGATTATATTCATTTGCAACTAATCAATATTTACTAGATACCAACATTCACTCCAAGTACTGGCCACACAATTATAAAATTATATGAAGCCATCATTGCACCTGCATGACTTGTAGCCTTATAGAAGTGAATGACTCACTGTAGCTTTTGTAGCTAGGATACTCATATACATTATCTTTTTGAATTTGGGGAAATCAACGATATATTCTCACCACGATATATTCTCAAGTACAATGTATGCTTCAGTGAGGTCATAAGAAGATTTGAGGTAAATGTAATTTAACTAAATTCTCACTGGCTAGTAATTATAGCTCTGATATGCAACTTTAGTCCACTTATAAATGGAAACAAATCTTGCCAGTACATAGATATAAAATTAGATAATTATTATTAATGGTTAAAGCTAGATAAAATAATTTCTTAAGAAAAAACTTAAAATTTAAATATTAATAGGCATATAATTAATATTTGAAATATTAAAACATTTAAACATTTAAAAAACTTTATTGTAGCTCTGCAGTGGAATACGAATTTGTATTACAAAAACAAAATATTACCAACTGGAGTTGTCTGTTTTTGATCACTCTAAAAAGCTGTTCCTGTTTCAAAGAAAAATATTCTCAATTTCTCAGGTATCATTCAGCTCAACCAACTATTTTCAGATAATTAAACAAGAATCCCACAGTATCCTCTCCCTAAGTGAAACATAAGCAACTATTAATACCACATAATTGCTGTCTTCACCATAAGTAAAATGGAATAATTTAGTGATTCCTTTTTTAAAACATTAGAAATATTACTTTTATACTTACTTTAACTTAAAATAACTACAGTGTAAATATAAATCTGGATATTGTAATACAAGTCTTGTCAAAAATAAAACAAAAAGCTTCTTGTTTTCTGACTGAAAATTTGTTTGTCCAAATTAAATCAGAATTTTCAATGAACAAAGTTTTCAAAAAGTAATGTATTACCGTGTGGGAGGGACATACAAAGCAACAAAGAAATCATCTTATAAGTACGTTAGACACAATAGCAAGAAAGACAAAAACATTTGAATCCTTATCTTGGGGTTCATTTCGCCTAACATCAACTTATCTGACCGTTTTTGCTTGACTCAGACATATACTAGATATTGCAAATAAGGGAAACCATGGGACCTATGTTTCTTTGGGCCTGGCTTACTTCACTTAATACAACTTTTTCCAAGTCTTTCCATTTCCTAACAAATGGGGCAAAGTCATTCTTCCTGATGGAGACATAGAACTCCATTGTGTATATATGCCACATTTTCTTGATCCATTAACCCCTGTTTTCACTGTATTTGATGTTGGTATAATTTGTGGAGGGGAAGGGAAAAACCAATTTTGTTTAAATAGGGATACAGGTGGACCCATTGCAACAATGAGATGGACAAGACATTTATGACGAAAAACGAACTTTACAACTTTGGTGCTGGGCGGAGGGGGGGATAAGAAGGGGAAATAAAGGAGGAGGCAACAATGCTTGATAAGTAAAGTGCTCATTACCTTGCTCATGTAATTGTAACCCCTCTGTATGGTATTTTCACAATAAAAAATAATGAAAAAATAATGTATTTTATACTATGTAACCTTTATCTGGAATATGTTATGTGCTATGAGTAATAAATGAATTTATATCATTAAATATTATTATAAATTGATTACTATTATTTTGTTAAATATACTCATTTTCAATCTATTTTATACTTTACCTTTTATACTTACCATAAATAAATAAGCCTAATGTATATTCCAGTGGTAAATAATAGAGCTTTTTACTAAAAGCTTTAATTTACTAAGCTCATTGTGGCCAAACAAAAGCCATAAAATAAAATAACCAACTGAAAACATGAAATATATATTCTGAGTAAAATAGTTGTTATATTTGTTTTTAGAAAAGAAAGAGTAAACTTTAAAGTCCTTCAAAATTCCTACTATCGATTAAAATCCAGCATATACTAAGAAGAATTCAATACACTATTATTTATATTTTGATATCTCAGCTTTTGATAAACTGATGAAGTATTACCAGATAGTGCTGTCTGGACATCTCTTCAGTAGAAATGTGCTTCTGCTAAAGAAAATAAAGATTATTCAAGTAAATTTAATTGTACAAACAATATGGCAGTAATTTTATTTTTAATTTAGTGACTATAGCTTACCTCACTGTTAATGGAAGCATCTTCCTTAATAAAAATAAAAACATGCAAACATTTAATACTTTGGGGTAAGACTATTAATCACCCAGGGACTATTCATAAATAACTATAACATGTAAAATCCCAGTCAGTTAAGATGAATAATTTGGGTTATGTATTCTGTTGTTTTCCTTTTCTAACTGCTTTTGCCAGAAGGTGGGTGGAAAGTAATATTTTTTATTGAACTATTAGACCCTACATACTTTTCTTGGTTCAGTTTTTAATTTTGTAACCTAGATGAAGTCATTCTTCCAAAGTCAGAGTGAAGGATCTCTATTCAGCTATGCTTGCTATCTTTTCTCTGTAGATTAACTAGGGAATGGAATGAATGGTTGCTAGATGTATAGTCAACTGATTTCTAATCACAGAATGTAAAATATATACATCATTGGTTTCAAAGGCAATATATTGTTGGGATTGTTAGTGATAGTTATATTAGAACCTGGGAAAGACAATAAGTAGAAATTAATCAAATAAAGGACACAAAACACTGGGATATCACATGTATTCAGGTTGACTTGTCTGTCCAGTAATAGTTCTGTGAATTTGTTTTCTTTTGACAACTAGCTGCTTTCTTACTTTGTTGATGATTATGTACTAAAATTAGGATAATATCACCTACAAAGTGCCAAGAACAATGGAACTTCGTGGGAATCTGGAACCCTCAGATTACCCTGTTTCAAACTCTGAATTAATATTAAAATCATTTACCTCACTTGATGAGCTGCTGCTACATGCTCTCTGCTAAGAGAAAGAAAGTGTTATGATGCTTAGATTTTTTGAAGGACACTTAGTTCAGTGTCATCACAGAGATTGCTCACTCCTAGAACATCATAATTGTGTGACAAATAAAGAGCAACTGTAAGATATTGTCATGGAGTGTCAATTTTACCTGAAAAAATGCTAAAGGAAAACTGACTAACTTCCAAGAAAACTTAAAGACTCATTATTTTATTTTCACTTATTGAAATATTATTTTCACTTATTAAAACTAATCAATGCCATAATATAGAATGTCAACAATATAGATTTTTGTGATGCAAACAAATAATGAAGCAAACTGAACATACTATGTGCGATGTGTAAAAGTGTAAAAATCTTTAAAAATAAAAACGTCTTACCATAGGGTCCACTGCAACATGTTCCTTTGGAAAAGAAAAGAGAGGGACTTTATATTCTAATGGCAATAGTAAGATGTAAAAATAAAATTGCCAAAGGAAATAGATGACAAAATAGAAATTTGAGGCAAAAATTTAAGAAATAAGAAAAAATATTTTCAATTTCGGTCTGAGCTGATTAAAGAAATTATCTTTCTAGTTCACATTTTTGAGTTTAGTGAAAATTATTTGAATACTTCCATTGTGGCAAATACCTATTAGAATATTAGCACTTTTCCTTTCAGCTAGTATAAATTAGTTTTTGGACATTCTACAGAAACATTTCATTTAAAATATCACATGATAAATGTAAATGCACCCAAAGAAAGTATGGTTCAATGGTATAAAAATAACTCAAGCAAAATGGATTTTTTTCTTCACTTTCATGACCAATCAGCACAAAGAGTGGTGACTTTATATATTAAAAATACATTCCAAATATTTGTTGATTTAGTTACCTAATTCTGTGGAAAGCAAGCCATAGTATCTTTCTTTAAATTACAAAGAGAAATTATTTATTCATTTTCACAAGAAATACTTATTTTCTTTTCATATTGAGTTGAATAGTGTTAAAGTGCTTTACCTCAATAGATTCCATTGTAGTTTCCTGATTCTAATAAAAAGACATCATGAATCAAAAACAGTTAAGAAGATAGATGTTTTTTAATATCATGAAATTTGAACACTATGTAGTCTTTCACTACTAAATCGATCAAATACACTTGTAGACAATCCGGGCCCAAAAAGAAGAATTATAAAGTGTTAATATACAAAACATTCTTCAGGTACATATATTACTTTATAAAAATATCTCCAATGAAGAATTTAGTTACTTTTGCTTAGTATAGGTTAGGTGGATCATGCTTTATTTATTTATTTCTACAGTTACTCATTAATGTTACTTATGTATGATTTATGCATGCATTTGATTATCATTCAATCAGTCATATAGATGTATTGCATCATCATCATCATAGCTACATAGGTATGTCCATAAAATCAGTAGACATTTAAATTCTTAATAGAATTTATTAGTTATTTTTAATATGTGATTTAAGAATGTCAAGAATAGGATAAATTCTCCCATAAGGAGAAAAAGTCAAATAAAACATTTCCCTATTTTAAATATATGTATTTTTTGTCACACTACTTTTTTAATGCATCCTTTGGTACCTTGATTTCATCGTTCTGTTTTTCTGTCAGAAGTTCTCTCTGCTAAAGTTAAGAAAGAGTAGTTTGTACAATGTATTTTAAATATTAGAAACTATTAAAATATTTAAAATTCCATTGATGTTTCTTACCCTATTCAGATCATTGATGATTTCCTTATGGATAGGGAATAAGATGGAAAAAATGAAAAGAGAGAAAAAATGAGTAGAATCCTGCAAGATATTACCCCTTGGGTGGTGCTGCTCCAAATTTCAAAATAATATTCTTATCTATGAATAGCTAATATGAGAAACTTAAGTATTTTTGGCTATTATTTCTTTGTATAAGGTATGTATTAATGTATACTTGAACTATGTTAAAACAAAGTTTTACTTTGTTTTTATTTTTTAATGTTTGCATGCAAAGCTTTTAGGTTGCTTGATTTAAATACATCTTTCTTATTTGAAATGTAGTATGTTTTGTGGAGGCATTCTTACCTGTCTGATGTCTACGGGTGTATGCTAAATTTTTTTAAAAGAAAGGAATAAAAGTTATATTAAAATCTATTCAGATGAAGTTGGATTACTTGTTAGATCTTTCAAATAATGGCTTTGAATTAAAATTTTTTTTTTTTTTATCAAACCAGTCACAAAATTATAGAAGACTTCAAAATAGATGGAGTATTATGTACGATTGAATTATCCAATCATAATGGGCATAGAGATTGCAAAGTTTATATTGGGTATGCAAAGGTAAGTTCAAGTATTTGAGAAGTAGCAAAATTAAAATTTAGAGCAGATTTTTAATGAAGGAAAAGTTTGATTAATTTACGTTAAAAATATTTTTATAAAAATTTTAAATTGGTCTTCCCAGAAAAATATGCTTATGCTTTGGGAACAAATAGGTAAAACTTACAGCATTGTATCTGAGAACTTTTATTTCTTTAAGGATTCCCTGGCGAAGTGAAATTGTGAATTATAAAAGTGACATGATTACCACACAAAGTATACATGTATAAAATTATCATATTATATCCCCTTAATATATGAAAAAACATACCAAGTGAACTTTTATGTTTTTGGAACACTAGGGTTTGGTTAAATTTGCTATATCAGATTTTTCACATAAAAGAATAAGATAATAGATTTTAGTTTTGCCTTGTAATTTTAAAATTTAAAGAAAACAACTTAACTGGTTCCTTCTTTACTAGGTCTTGAAATTTGTTATATCTATATTTTAAAAAATGTCCAAAGGAGACACTGTGAATAGGGATTAAAGCAAAACAGAATTGAAAGAGTACCTGAGTAGCTAAATATTTGGATACATTTGAAGGTAAATAGAATTGGAATGAAGAAGTCACTCAAGCCAGGTGCTAGTTAGTGGCTAATGCCTTTAATCCTAGCTACTCGGGAGGCTGAGGTCTGAGGATCAAGGTTCAAAGCCAGAGCAAGCAAAAAGGTCCACAAGATTCCATCCCAAATTATCCCCAAATTTGGTAGGCTGTAAGAGTAGCTCAAGTAGTATAGTGTCAGTCATGAGCAAAAGACTCAATGAGAGCTAGATTTTCAGAGTTGAAGCCACAGTATGGCACTAAATTAATTAATTAATTGATTAATAAAATTGTAAAACAAAGTCATTCAAAGCCAGCACTAGTGGTTCATGCCTGAAATCATTCAGCAGGCTGAATACTGATGATCATGGTCTGAAGACTGCCTAGGAAGGAAACTACATGAATCTCCAATTAGCTACCAAAAATCCGAAACTGGAACTGTGGCTCAAGTCAGAGCACTAGCCTTGAACAAAAAAGCTCAGAAACAATATCCAGGCTCTGAATCCAAGCCCCAGGAATGGCATAAAAAAAGAAAAAGATAGTCATTCGACATGTGGCTAATGTGGCTAAGCTAGAAGACAAAGAGAAACTTGACAAGTATATGTATAGTCAGCTTACCTCACTGCTGTCTTCCTGATTCTGCAAAGAATATAATGTAAGCATGACATTATTAAATTTCCTGTACAGAGTGGAGGATGAATTTCTTTTAGTAGAATGGTATGATAATGATTATTAATTTGAGATTCAGTGTGGCAAATAAGACCACGTTAAAAATCAGATGCTTGAGTTAATGTAAAGACAAAAAATATTTGATTATTTTTTTTGAATAAGGACACTATTTTTATTGGTGTTCTCTTTTTAAATTTTATGTAAATAAAAAAGAATTCAAACTGTCAGGGCTTATGACAAAGAAACTATAGCTCAGTGAAAGTGAGACAAATTGTTTTCCTAGAGAAAGGAAGGACTAGCTTTGATCTGTAAATGTCAGCATATCACTATTTAAGTGGCACACTTAGAATGAAATGCAAAATAGTATAGAATAGAATAGAATCAAACAAAATCATATACAGGAGTGGAGAAAAAATACTTACTTGAACTTCAGCATGTCTAAAATGAAGTTTCTGCAAAAAAGTGTAAGAATTATAAAGCAGAAATAAGTAAAATACAAAAATATGGCTGGATGCGGTGGCTTACACCCATAACCCTAGCTACTCAGGAGGCTGAGATCTGAGGATGGTAGTTTGAAGCCAGCCTTGATGAGACTTACATTTAATCACTCAAAAACAGGAAGTGGAGCTGTGGCTCAAAAATGGTAGAGCACTAGCCTTGAGCAAAGAAGCTCAAGGACAGCACCCAGGCCCTGAATTCAAGCCCCTAACCAACAAAAACAAACAAAAAGACAGTAATTATTTAACCACACACACACTGCTATTTAAGAAAGATATTTAATAATAATTGCAAAGTTTGTCAAGATCAAATTTCCCTGGGTACTGAAAGGAACAAAAAAAATCATTAATTATTTTACTGACAAATATCACAGCTAAGCAAAATAGCTTATTTGTTTTAGACATATAATAGAGAATTGAGAAAAATATGTACAAAGTCTTTAAAATGAAAAAAATAAGTAACTTTGATTAATTCAAAATGATAAAGAATTTGTTTGCATTTTGCAATTGTTTATATTACACAATGGTCCTAAAGTGACTAGACAATTATAAAAGTTTGGGTGCAAAATGTATACTTAATTGAATTTTGCCTGCTTTAATTTTTTTTTCAGTCATGGGGTTTGAACTCTGCCTGAGTGTTGTCCTCAGTTCTTCAGCTCAAGACTAGCACTCTACCACTTGAGCCACAGTGTCACTTCCAGATTTCTGGTGGTTAATTGGACATAAAAGTCTCATGGACTTTCCTACCCAGGCTGGCTTTGAACCATGAGCCTCAGATCACAGTCTCCTGAGTAGTTAGGATTATAGGCGTGAGCCACTGGTGCCCAGTGCCTGTTTTAATTTAATCACCAATTAGATTGTATAAAAATGACTCTCCACCTACAATTTGTTTAAGGACACAGTCAAATTTAGTATAATTGAATTATGTGTAATTAGATGATTGTATAAACCTATGGCTTATTGGTTTATTTGGAGTACTTCTGTCTATTCCATCAGAAAACATAAGGTAACATAAACCATCTCAAGTGAGAGTTTGGCTTTGGGCCCTAAATTAGGACACACTTGAAAGAAATATTGGATACCTCCCACATGTTAAGATATATATTCATTCTCCGTTATGTGGAAAAAGAGCATGATCACATTATGTAATACCAGTTATTGTGTTAGGCAATACCTTATTTCTTTTCTCTCTTTTTATTTTTTTAAAATTGTGTGATTATTAAATTTCAAATAGTATTTAGAGTTAGATGTTTGGGCAGATTACATAATGATGTGCCAAATGTGAACAGTTGCCCCATTTCTAATGGAAAGACATTAATATTCAATAACCAATGTGGATATAAAATGGTACTCTGGAAAGATTACTCTATATTATGTTTGTGTCAGGTCATTTTCAACAAAAATATAGGACTTTCCTAAATTTCTACGGTACTTACAGGCCTGGCAAGAGCAACGGCCATGAGGCAGGTCAGGATAAGAAGCTTCATGGTGCAAAGGCCTACAACAGAGGAATTGGGGACGGGGAGAAAAGTCGTCTTATTAACAATAAAAGATTTATTTTTTTAAATCCTTACTTTTTCAACAGAGAAACGTTATGATAAAAGCGTGTTCATTAGAGAGGTGATATAAACTTAATGTTTTAAATTTTGTTACTCAAGTTAACATTTTTGCATTCTCTTTGTTTTTATATTTCTTAGAAATAGCAATGTTTTGCCAGCGTTCTAATTTAGTAAAATTCTAAAGCCATCGTGTGAGCCTTAAAATGGTGATTCTAGCTTCATTAGAAAAATGGAGCAGCATCAATATTTAAATGCAATTAGAATAGAGCTTTTCCTCTTAGATGACTGGATTTGTTAATGTGGGCAATAACATAAAATCCACAGTGAACTGGCATTTGTTTTGACCAGAGAGTGTTTCTCTTTAAAAACAATCTCAGTGCATCATTTTCTTTGAGTCTTAAAAAATACTGCTAGTTCACAATGTAGAAAGTTACTAACTTCCATCCAGTAATGTTTGTAAAGGCATAGTCATGATTTTGTGTTTTGCTACATGATGAAGAAACTGAATTGTATAGTTGATATGATTTTCATATCACATCATACCTGATTGCTAGAGTTCTAGAGTTCCAATGCACTGCAGGAACGTAGAGATCCTAACATTTACATGTCCTGAGAAACTAATCTTCAGAGAAATTAAGGAAAACACACAATTACACGTTTTTATTTACACAGCATTTAACATGGTAATTCTTCTGTGTCTTACCTAAAACCTGAATGCTTTGGTAAAGAAGGTATATTGTATATTGTAAACTACAAAACTGTATATGCATTTTACCTTGACAAATGGCTAAATTTAGTCATCTTCATGAAAGAAGTCATCCAGAATTGTCATTAATGTATGTGCTATGTAATTAATTTTATCAGTGAAATGAATAAAAATGGATTTGAGATAGCCGGACAAAATGGTTTTTGCTTTGGTAGTTATAAAGATAAGTTTATTTTGCCTGACAGATTTTCCCAGAAGTAAATAATATTAATATCCTATATCAACAAAATTAAAATTAAAGTATAACATTTTCAATGTATAAATCTCAGCTACAAAATTATCCAATGATTTTTTAAAAACCATATTGACTAATTACCTAAATATTTGAGATAATAAAAAAAACTGCAAACACATTGTTAAGCTACTAGCATCTTGTCAGAAATAATCAATATTTTATAAACATGGAGAAGGTTACAAGTTCATTTTTACAAAGAATGAAAGAAAGAAACATCAAATCTTATCAAAATGTCCATATGTGAACACAGTACCTTGAACCCAAGACTGGAAAGGAGCAAGCCAGGTGATCAGCTAGGCGATGGCAGATGTCTTTGGTTCACAGCTATTTAAGCCTAGCAATTAGCAAAATGCTAATTTTGTGGTTTTTGGTTCAAACAATAGGCTTATTAAAATTCTAAGCCTCTTCCAAATAAGAAATTAATTTCCTACCCACTTCATTTCCCAGAAAGTTCTGAGAGAAGTTTTTAACAAGGAGTGATTCATGCAGCGATGACAGATTATGCAAGAAGTCGAATGGCATTTTTTCAAAATTAAAATACAAAAATTTACAGATGTGTATAGTTACTGTAGGAATGGGATTTTATGTTTCATGGACAATTTTAATTAATAGATTAAGATATTGATATATTAATAAAAAATCCTTTGTCTTTTGAAAAATCAATTCTTACAAAGGAAATCCTTTAAAAATAGGATCTTCAAAAATTTTCAAATTTTAACAATTTCCAGGCTAATAAATGAATTTTCATGTTTTAAAATGTAATTTGTCATCTAGTATTTATTTTATTTGTTTTATGGAGTAACTAAGGTAGTACGGGTTCTGAGCTTTCTTTTAAGAAATGAATATAACTTCTATAAAATTGTTGGTATTTTAACTACACAAGAGAATTATTTTTTTTAAAGTAAGTTATTTACAGTCATCTACTAATTGTGTATTTATTGTGGTATTTCCACACATGTATAGGAAGCACCCCAATCAAAATCCCTTCTTCATCACTTTTCTTACAAAAAATCTATTCTTAAAACAATTTAAACAGGTTTTACTGTTCTATTAGCATCCATGCATCTGAATTACTTTGACCAGATGTAGCTCCATCCACATTCTTCATTGGCCCCCCCCCCCCTTCCGCTGCTTCCCTCCACACAACAGAGCCTCTTATTCACTGTCATTTTTAAGTTATGATTTTTTTATTTTTTAACTAATTATACTAGTTTTACTTTGTGCAAGGCATTTCACCAGGGTAGTTCACACATGTATGTATTATACTTTAATCAAACTATTGTCCTCAGGTTCACTTTTTCTTTGTTTCCCTTATTTCCCTATTGTACAACAGCTTTCAATGAGATACACACACACACACACACACACACACACACACACACACACACACACACACACACACGGTGTATTCCAGAATTATTAATCCTCTATCATTCTCTTTCCCTTTCTTCTCTCCTAACAGTAGTACCCAGTTACAATCATACTTTTTTTTAGGACTATAGTTTAGATTAGATTCCACAAATGAGTAATACTTCGCTCTTTGAGTTTGGTTTATCTCACTCAACTTGATGATGTCCAGCTCCATCCATTTCCTTCAAATAATATGAGCTCACTTTTCTCTATGGCTGAATAATATTCTATGATGTATGTGTACTACCTTTTCTTTACCATTCATCAGTTTTTACGCACCTCTGTTAATCCTAGTTTGGTTACTGTGAACAGATCTTCAATAAATATGTGTGTAGGTATCTCCGTGTTATGTTGATTTGTAATCCTTCAGATATATGTGTGACAAAGAATGGTACAATGGATTATAGAATATAGCTACTTTTAGTTTTTTCAGGTGATCCATACTGATTTCCATAGTGGCTGCATTAGTTTACATTGCTACTGCTAGTTTCTAAGAATTTTATCTAGTATATCATTTTTTGTTTGTTATGGATATATACTTTGACAGTTTTCATATATATATATATATAACTAATTAAAAGTAATTAGTATTTTATAATTATACTTTTTAAAAATGCAAAAACTAATCTTATCTCTGGCAGTCTACATTTAAAAATGGAGGGAGAAAAGTAAAGCTCCTCTAATCCTCAATAACTTCACCAATTAACAGACATTGTATATTTTAGAAAATTTGTATATACTAAATAAAATATGAATAACAAAAATTCAAAAAATATTCTGAATATTTCTTTGCTTTAATATATGGAAGGATTCATACACTATATTTTAATAAATTTAAATAAATATAATTATGTTTACATATGATATATGACTGGGGCATTATTCTAGGCTAAATGAAAAAGAGTTTCTGCTTTCAGTTCTATTATTGTATTACAGAGAAGATCTGTGTTTCTGACTGATTCACATCAGTTTCAGTAACATTCTAGTGTTTCCTGTTTTTTGATTCATTCAGTGAGCTGAGAACTAGCACCATACTGCATCACAGTATCTTTATCTTTTCCTAGATGTGTACCCAGAATGCTTAAATTATTTACTTAAAACTAAGGATCATCCTACAGGAAAGTTTACTCTATCATGACATCTTCAGCCTTTCTTTTTAGTGCTGGTTCTGGGATTTGAACTCAGGACTTGGATATTGTTCCTGAAGTTTTAAAATTGAGGCTAACACTCTATCACTTGTGCTACAGTTCCACCTCAACTGTTTGGTGGTTAATTGGAGATGAGTCTCACAAACTTTCCTGCCTGAACTGGCTGTGAACCATGATCTCTGATAGCAGCCTCCTGAACTTCTAGATTTAAAGATGTGAGCCACGGATGCATATCTTTCTTATTTCTTTTATTTACACATTACCAAGGAGTCAAAAAACACTGAACAAACTATGGGGCTATGAAAGTTAAGAGAAATTCCATAGCCTTTTAGTAACTGGGTAATTAACATACAATAAGCAAATCTTATAATTAGTCAAAACTCAGAGTGCAGCAGAGGCTCTTGAGGAGCCATGACAGGTAAATTGAAAGGGGGTGATAGTAATCAAGATAAAAATGATGAGACAAAGGACAAAGGGTGAACCAATGCAACAGCGATACTCACAAGCAATATGTTGGAAATGAACTTTACAACTTGGGGAGGGATCGGGGAAGGAAAGTGGGAAAAATGAGGGGGGAATATTTGACAAGAAATGTGCTCAATTCCTTATGCATGTAACTGTAAACTCTCTGTGTATCACCTTGACGATAACATTAAATTCAGAAAAAGATATATTGTATTCATGAACTGCTTTATTAAATGGCAACACCTTTCTATGATTGATTACAGATCATATTTTTTAAAAAAGATAAACGTGATACAAGAGAGGGCTCTGTATATGGATTTGATAATGATAAGTCTCTATATAAAAGAACAATCAGACTTACATAACTACAATACTTGCATCAAAAGAGAAGTCACCTTTTATCAAATTTATGTATCTTCTACTCTGGACATCTCATGAATTCAAACTCTAGATTTCTTTCTAATTCTCCATGGGATAGGAATTAATCTCCACTTTGATTTATTAATCTACCTGCTCACTATAAATTGTCAATACATACTTTTGTATGTCCATTATAAACATGTGTGGGTCTGCAAGCTTTTGAATCTGTTTAGGTCATATGCAATTTCAGCACCCAATTGAGCTCTGAACATGCAGAAGTTCTGATTGTAAAATGGTAGCTTTTTTTTTCTCAGTTATGGGGCCTGAACTCTGGGCCTGGGCACTGTCCCTCAGCTGTTCAGCTCAAGCCTAGCGCTCTACCACTTGAGCCACAGTGCCACTTCCAGCTTTTTCTGCTATGTAGTGCTGAGGAATGGAACCCAGGGCCTCATGCATACAAGGCAAGGCAGGCACTCTACCACTGAGCCACCTTCCCAGCCTCAAAATGGTAGCTTTTTAACCAATACATGGCAACAAGAAAACATAATTTAGAAT